AAATTTGAAATTTAATTGTGGTTTGGTATTTGAGTAAATTAGAATATTCTAGAGATTAAAAATTAATATCGGGATCAGGGCTGATCGAAATTTCGTTTCGTTCGCTCTAACGTGCATTTTTTTCATTTCGTTTCATTTCGTTTCGTTTCGTCAAAAAAATTATTTCGTTTCGAAACGAAATAGACAAAATTCCGGGCGAAACGAAACAAAAAAAGTGAGAAAATGCACCCATAATGACGGGAATTTAAGGAAATAATCATAAATTTTTAGTGATTTCTGTCTTATGAGCAGCTAAAAATAAAAAATTTTCGCCTGCGGCGCTGAAAACGGAAGAAATTTGGCTTATTGAGCTCCAAAATTCAAAAAATTTTCGACTGCTGCGCTAAAAAAGAAGAAAGCTTTTACGGGTTTTGCTAGAGTAGAGCAGCCTTCAGCAGCCCAACCTACCATAGTCCTAAATCTTTATATTTGTGATCTAAAAATATTAAAAATTTTTGAAACCCAGATTCGAATATGCTGGAGTTTTACGCCAAATTGAATAAGGCTGATATATGCCAATTTAAAAGGATTAATGGGTAAATTGTAGAGAGGCATGTTGCATAATTGAATTTTGGGGGATATAGAGAGGCAATTTGTCGTGATTAATATAGTGGGATTTGGGTGATTAAAAGCGATATCGTTTATTTCGTTTCGTTTCTTCTGAAACAAGCTCATTTCGTTTCGTTTCGCTCCGAAACGAAATAGGAATTTTTTTATTTAGTTTCGATTAAAAATAAAAAATATTTTTATTTCGAGCAGCCCTGATCGGGATCTCGAAGTGATTAAGAGGATAACGGGGGCATAGTGAGGTTAAAGCTGTAACAGAGGGGTTTTGAGACTTGACTAAATAATGATTTGACTAAATAATCAAAAAGAGAGAAAAGCGAAACTACGAGATAAGAATGATACATATAAGGATTATGAAGATTAAAATTGATTAAAACGATTAGGCGTTTAAGAGTTATAAAAGTATAAAGGAATTAGCATGAAGAGATTTATGGTAATAGCGATATATTTATATAGTGGGATAATGTTAGTTAGAAGGTTTTTAAAGAGATTAAGAGGGTTATCATTTTATCAAAAAGGAAATAAAGGGATTTTGGAGATTAAGAAAGATATCTATGATTTTAAGTGTGGCAAAAAAAGGATGTAGCAGAACGTTAACTGGATGAATATCATTGGCTCTTTTGAGAGGTGTGAATGATAAAAAACATAGTAATTTTGAGGGATATCAGGGGATTAAAGAAATAAGGGGAGATTAAGAGAAATAAGAAATATCGGAAATTAAAATGCCTTTAAGAATAAAGAACGATACGGTCGTTTGGTGAATTAAGATTGATAAAGGAGGATTTATAGGTTTTCAAGGAAAATTCAAGGATTTTGTAGGATATCGAGGAAAGATGGATAAAAAACATATCCGGGATATTTTTAGAAAGCAGGGATGCATGGGTCGTGAAATTGAAAGGGTTAACCTTTTTTCCATTTATTTCATTTCGGCTAAATAACGAACGAAACAAAATAATTTTTTTTTGGAATTTTAGGTAATTTTGTGGGATTAAAAATTTTTGAATTTTTCCAAACATTTTCCCTAAATAAATAAAATAAAACAATATTTATTGGAGTACAGTTGGGTCCAAATGTTTATGTTTTGTGTCTTCGCGAATTAGTTCCGGCATGCTTAAGTACAATTGATTCTAATGAAAGGGAATCAAGAAGGGGATCTAAAGGGTTAAAGAGCGGTTTAATTCATTATATTTCAGTGATATAAAGGGGTACATGAGGATTAAAAGGGATATCTGCAGATATACCGTAAATTCTTTGAATAGGCAACCCTCTAAAACTTCCCAATAAAATCTTTAATTGTTGATAAATTGTTGTGCCACCTCCTAGAGTACGCATGAAGGAATATAGAAGGATTAGAAGTGATTAAGACGGTAATTCGGAGATTAACAGGATGACGACGTAGATATCTAGGGATTTGGGTGATTAAGAATGAAATCGGAGTTTTTGTAGGTTTAATGAGCTATATAAAGATAGAAGAGATTAAGGGAGATTAGGAGAGATATCGGGGGATTAAGAGCAGGGTTTCGATCTCAAATCTTATAAAATACGAAATTTTGATCAAAAAAATCCGCATTTTATATCAAAAATTAGCAAAAAATTATCAAACACAAAAATTGAATTAGAATCACTTTATGTATTATATTTTTAACTTTAAAAAAGTGAATTGAGCAATTTTTTATTACTAAAATTTTGAAGATTTTGGAAGGCCAAGAAGCCAGATTTCTACCAGATAAAACGCCGAAGGCGAAAATTTTGTGAATTTTGGAAGGTGTTTGCAGAAAAATAAAGACAATTATCCAAAAAACTACAAAAATATGTCAGCTAGGAAAGGAATATTAACATAAAAGATATGCTTTTGTGTTTTTAACAATGTTTTTTTGTTTGTGAAATTAAAATAAATATTGGAGTAAAGAGAAATTCGGGTAAAACCATAAAGAGCTATAAGATTTGGGGAACTAACAGATAAATCAAGGATCAAAGGTGGTTCCGTGATTTTGTGGTGTTTAAAAGGGATATCAGATTTGGGGGCTGAAGGGTGATATCTCTGATTTTGGAAGTACAGGGTCTATCTGGCATTGTGCGTAATTAATTAACTTATCAGAGGATTTTGTATGGTGTTTAAGAGAATGGTGTTTAATAGGATATCGGAGGATATTGGGCAAGAGTGATAACTGGCATTAAGGGTATAAATTTTGGGGTTAGAGTCCGTTAATCGGTGTGTGAGAGTCTGTCGAGTAATGTTGGTAACATAGTCAACGGGTTGATTTTAGTTATACCATTGAAAGGTTTGAACGAGCGTTTTGGTGCCGCGAAGCGGCACCAAACCGCTCGTAATTTTTTAAAATAAAAAATGAATTCTCTACCTTTAATGTCCATCTTTATCTATAAATTAAATTACTTTTATTATTAAATCAGTAAGTTTATTTCTAAAAATTTCCGTACCTTTAAACAATGATTATTTAATTTTTCAATATTTTTTTCTATTGAATTTCTTTTCCACTCCCCTACAGTTTCAAAATCATTTTTATTTTCAATTAATTTTTCTTTATAAATTTTTTCAAAATTTTCTGTAAATTTTTTAAATTTGAAGCAAAATTTGTTTTTTCCCAGCCAATCGTTTGATGAAATTTTTGCTTAAATTTTTTAAAAATTTTTATAAATTTTATTCAATTGATAATACTAAGGTATGACACAAACTGTTGATCAAACCGGATTCAAAACCATTGTTTTCAAAACCCTGGGGAAAAACCGGTTTAGGTTTAGAAAGAACTGAGATACATGGTGGTCGAAAGCCAAGGTCGTAAGCCAGAACTCTTAGGGTCGAAACCCAGTTTTGATTAACCATAAGACATGTAAAGGGTCGATAAAAACCAATGGCAAAACCTATGGTAGAAGAGCGGTCTAGTCGAACCGAAACCGAGGGTCAGTCAAAAACCGAAATCGAAACCCATGGCTCGAAAGCCAGTTGATAACTAAGAATTGTTAGTCCTGCTAACTTTTCTGTGCCATCCCCAAGTTATTTATCATCCCCAAATACCTTGATTTTCATAAATCAATGTTCCCAATTTCAATTCCCATTCGTATTCATTCTCCGTTTCTTTATAACAATTTATAAAATCTTTCGTTTTGCTGTATGAGAAGTAGGAATTCAATCCAAAATTATCATTTTTAATTTTTGGCTTGATAATTATATTTTTCTGATCTTTAAGAATTTCAAATAGATCACTTCCATGATGGATTACCACGAGAGATAATAAACCTTAATTTTGAATGTATGAAATATACTCTTTAAGCCAAGCTACGTCGTAACTGAAAAGTTACCGCGAGCTTAACTTTTCTCTGAGTTGAGGATTATTTGGTATCCTTTTAGAGCCATCTCCAGGAGCCGACTTCGAAGCTGACTTCCTAATTCGGCTCTGGAGCTCGGCTAGGAATTTAAAATGGCAGGTTATTGAGCCTCGATTCGAGTCGCTTGGACTCGAATCCGAGCTGCCAATCCTCGACTTCGAGCTGCCAAGGACGAAGTCAAGGATGTTAGTTTCATTTCAGCTGAGTGAGACTAATATCCAGTTCCATACTAGTCTCACTCAATACGGAAATAGCATTCAGTGTGGTAATTCAGTCGCTTCTACATATTTCTATCAGGTTCTTTATTACCTTCATAATTCTGACTCTCGAAATAATTTTTGATACGTTTAGCAATATCCTCATTATACATTATTTGTCCTGCCAATCCAGTTATAGCAATCATTCTTTTCATGTAATCAGGAATTTCCTTGCTATAAATTAATAAAATACTTTTTATATATTTTTGAGGTTTCCAAAACCTCTCTATTAACGTTTCCATTATGTTTCTTTCCTTCCCAACAGACTTACTACATTTTTCAAATTCTTTGCTTAATTCTGTTATGATTTCAGACTTGAATTCAAAAGTAAGCAGGAGAGTTTCGAAGAACGGGACAAGCATGCCAGGATCATTTTCCTTGGTTGTTTCATCACATAATGAATTCATTCGGGAGTAAACCTGATGAATATATTTTTTAAATAATAAAAAGTCTCTATAGATGAGAGAAGGAATATAAGAGAATCCCCCCTCCCCAAGGAGATTCCCCATCTCCAAGGAGATCCTCCCCTCTCCAAGGAGATCCCTCCTCCTAGAAAATAGAACAAAAATGAAACGATCAGTCGGGCATGGAAACGATCAGCTGTCAAATCTTTGTTTTATTTTGTTGTGATCTTAGACATGAATTCAAGAATGAGCAGGGACCCTTGAATTCAAGGGTTCAAGGGTGAGCGGTTTCATCAGAACTCATCTTGGACATAGGCTTGGCTAACTTTTATCTCAATCCACAATCTCAATACGATTACGAACTCGGGTATTAACGGGTAATAATTTTTATCTACTGGCACCCATCAAAATAAATATCGAAAATTATCCTTGTACTACTTAAAAATCTCGATCTTAGAAATACAATACCTTTCGAACTTCATCTTCATCAAAGATAAGTTTGTCAGAGACAGATCTCACTCGATTAATTAGAATTTGCCATATTTCTTTATGGTCATCAGCTCTTTCCTTAGCCATTTTATAATGCAAATGAATTTCCAGTTGTGAAATTGCTTCGTTTGTATTTTTAATTTTTGTTTTGAAACTTTTAAAGTCTTTATTCTCCATTAAACTTGAAGAAACAATATCATATTTGACAATAATTTGGTGCAATTCATATTTGGTGCGGGCCAAAATGATGTCATATATTATGTCAAAATCTGATTCCGCTTAAAAATATTTTGTGATTTAAGTAGTAATAAGGCAAAATATTTATTTAAACACGCAAAAATATTCTACAGTAGTCGTGAGTAAATAAGTTTCAATTTTCGAAGTTTTTGTTCGGAAATAGCTTGGAGAGAGCGTATACATATTTATAATTGTATCGGGATCCTGCGGTATCGGGATTATCCCTGTTTTTCGAATCACGATTTTGCTGATCCCGAGAAAGATAAATCCCTATCTCTCATTAGGCCAAGTCCGATCTAACATGATCGGAATACAACATAAACACTCAGTATTGGAGTTTTGTACAACACTCGGTATCGGTAACATGATCTGGGTACTCGGAACCACAAAGTTCTAGCTATCGGTAACGTGATCGGGGTACTCGGAACCAAAAAAAAAGCTCCTATCCCGATATCCTTCCAAAATCCCTATCCCGATTTTATTGGACTCTTATCATAATATACTTCATTATATAACTCAAGTCCAAGTGTATCTCTAAGGTACAATTATATTTATTTTAATTGCACCTGAATTTAAGGCAAAATAAAGCCTCTCAGCTAGTGATTGATTTCTGTTTTTAATCAGCAATTCCAACAATTTAGATCGCTCTTTTGCTTTCATACTGTTTTTAAACAATTTCAAGTGTTTGGATTTTAGGTGTTTGTTATTAGTCTCTGGGCGATTAAATTCATCAAAAATATGGTTAAGACAACTCGACAAATTTAGCTATAAATTAAAGTTTTTGATATGATCTGAGGAAGAAATTTTGGGGAAATAGATAATTCAGTTTAAAAATTTTATAAAATAGTGAATTGAAATGTTGGAAATCTCGATCCCTTATACATATATACATAATCCGGACCTAACTTAGGGTACATTTTTTAAATTGTTGTGGGGAGGGGGGGGGGCGAGTGGAGGTACCTCATTATTTAAACTAGAGTTCAGCTGGATCGGGATCCCGGTCGGGATCTCCATTCCAAATCCCGATCACGATTTCAGGCCAATCCCGATCCCGAGTCGGGATCCAGGATCACCATTCCAAAATCCCGATCCCGGGTTTTTCTCTAAATCCTGAACTCTAATTTAAACTCTGAACTCTAATTTAAACCTCAATATAGGATAAATTTTGTAGTCACAAAGGAGTAGTGTTGTGCCTGTTGTGCCGAAACCGGAACAGGAACTGAAATTATGACCGATCCGGAACCTGAACAGGATATAATTTTTTGGTTCCGGGCCGGAACCGGAACTTCCAGCGCAACACTACAAAGGAGTGTATAAAATCGAGGGACTGGTTTAACTTTTTAAATTACTTCATCTTCCATTTTCAACTCATTCATGCAGTATACTAATACTGTTTCTTCCCTGCGCCATTGAGGAAGGGGCAAAAACAATTTGTTTATCAAATTCCAACGTTCTTCTGATTTATTTTTCTTGTCATCCTTGATTTCTTGAAGCATAGACCATAAAGGTTTATTTCCAATTTTATGATTTGGATACCAACGGCTACATTGCAAGCCATCTCCAACTTTATTTGAAAACAATGATAGGCGAGGACCTTTCACTAAAATCATAAAAGGAAGGGTTATTTTAAGGACATTGATAATCTTCTCTAATTTTATCAAACTCTCAAAGTTAAAATCCAAAGATAAAATACAAAAGACTTCGTTTTAATTAATTTTTCAGTTTTCGTCCGGTTTTACTGGATTTATATGACGCTGAATTTTCATCTTTGGTCCGGATTTTATAAATTTATTAAGAATTATTTTAAAAAATTTTATTCTTTTAAAAATTTTTATTAAAAATTTTTAATTATATTTTTATCCCAAACCCCAAAAAAATTTTTATTAACTTTTTTTGAATGAACACCAATATAATTCAACAACATAAATCTAAAAATTAAATCCCAGACCTCCTCATACTCATTCTCGGACCTCTAATAAATTTCCACCCTCGCGAACCTGGATCCCACTATCCTAACTGTAGCCTAGTCGCTTCCATTAAAGGGCCTGGATTTTTATTAGGAAGTTTAGAAATTCTTCAACAGAATCAAAATTAAACTTTACAACCTTTACTTGATTTTACAACCTCACCATGTTCTTCCTGAATTCCATGGGTGTAAGTAAATAAAAACAGTAATGAATATACAATGGAAAATTTCAGTAAAAACATCTTCAACTTGGTTTTGCTTACTGAGGGAATTTTAAAAAGGCATTGGGCTAAAAAAAGGCATGAAAAAAAATTTTTTTTTGAATGTCGTAGGGGAAAGAGAAGAATAAAAATTTATATAAATAAATTTATAATACAAACTATAACTTCCTCTCCCTCCTTCCACTCTCTACCCTCCCCCCCCCCATATCCCCTCCTTCTTCCTCTCTCCCTCCTCCGTCCCCCTACCCCTCCTCCGGACCTTGCCCTCCACCCCCTCCCTTTCCTCCCAAGACCATTTCATAAGCACGTTTATAGACTTTTGAAGACAAACTATAACTTCTTCCTCCCTCTCCCTCTTTCCCCTCTCCCTCCACCGCCACGCTCCCCATTTATCCCCTTACTCCCTCCCTTCTCCCACCTTCCCCCCACCATTTCCCCACCTTCCCCCCACCATTTATCCCCTCTCCCTCCTCCTTCCTCCTACCCCTCCTCCACGCTCCTCCGACCCTCACCCTCCACCCCCATCCCTCCCTCCCCTCCCCACTCCACTCCTCAACTCACGTTTATAGACAATAAAGACTATTGGTGATTATCGTAGGACCTATCATAAGGGTAATTGATTTCAATTTTAATAATGCCTCTATTAGAGAGTGTTTTAGATAGGTAGCTAATTAGAGAGAGAAATAAATTAAAATTTTGTTTAAAAACTTGAAAATGTTTTTTCTGATTTGTTATAATCTTCCCTTGACTTTTTTAAAAAGTTTAGCACATAATACATCTGTTAAAGATTTTTGGAGTTCAATATGGCTTAAAATTTGGAAAATAAAAGTTGAATTACAAGCAATTATTCAAAATATCAATAAAAAGTTTCAGCTTTAGTGCATGCCCTGAGCAGTAGTGATGGTCAGGAGTTAGAAGAAGACGATAGTCGAGACCGAGAAGCAACTCAGAGACCGAGAGCTCATAAAACCCCGAGAAATTTTCCGACTCGAGAACCGAGACCAAGTGTTTCGATCATCACTACTGATCAGTTGATACCAGACCTGATCATGGATACGGATATGGATACAGATAATACCAAAATGTCTGCGGATATCCGCCTGTATCCGTCTGTATCCGCCGTAAATATATATATACGGATACCAAAATCAGTATCCGTGACCAGGTCTGGTAGATACAGCTCTTCCCTTTACCCCATTTTAAAATTTGGTTTATCACTGACATAAGCTAATAAAACTACCTATTTAATTTCAAAGTGATATTAAAATATAATATTTTTTGAGACAAGAGGTATCTGAAATTTCAGACTTCATTTCATATCCAAATTATTAAGAAAAACTTTTTGTACAATCATATTTTATTAAAAAATTGTCTTCTCTTTAACAAACTGACTTTAAAATTTAATAATTAATTTTAATTTTCATCACTTTTCGTTATCCATTGATGTAATGACAGCTTGATCTTCATTACCCTCACACGGTCTAATCAGCGCATCATTCACATAAAGTTGATGAACTAGTCTTTGAAAATTTTTTTTTAATTTTTTATTTTATCCGTCTTATATTTCCTACCCAATCTGCCTTTTTCCACTGCTCTGGGATATAATATAAGCACTAGCTCCTGCCCCGATTTCAAAGTGTGTTTTGGTACCGCCCTCCTCCACAAACTCTCCCTTAAAATTTTTTTGAAATTTTAATGCCTAGAAAATTTTTAAGGCCTAAAAAAATTTTTCAAATTAACAAACAGTTGTTTCGACTTTCGAGCCATTAACCCAAACATCCAAAGTTTCCTTCTCTACAGTAATAAACAAAATTATTTCTACCCAAAAATACGATACCTAGGCATATTCTAATTTCCTCTTCTGCCATACGAACAAGCCAAATCTTTAAATAAATTTAAAAAATAATGAATTCTTTAAAGGTTTTGGGCCAAAATCGCCTTATTTTAAAGGTTAAATCTGGGGGTATTTTTAAAAATAACGGAAGTTGTATAATGACGTACTCTGCCCCACCCCCCCATGCCCGAAATTCCGCACCCTGTCTACCATTTTTATGGCAAAACCCGACGAAACCTCTAATGCTCTACCTCAGCAACCGTTTATCTTAAATTAATTCTGACCCTGAACTCCGACATGCCTTCCCGGCAAGCTCCGATTTCAGATACTCCCGACATTGAAGGGTTTGGGTGCTACCCGATATTAAGTATAATTATCTTTACACACCTGTAATGCCTTCTTTTGTTGCTCTCGAAATTTTTCATAAGTTTTCCCTCCGACTTGAAGCGTATATTCGTAAGCAAAAATTCCTACAGCTTCAATATTGACCTTTAAATTTGTTCAACTTTATAATTTTTTTAAAAAACTTGCCGAGCATTTAACCCCGTTTAATTCAAATATTTCTCTACCCACCAATTTAAACATCCAATCGTGTTTGATTATTTCCTTAAAATTATAGCAATAGATAATCTCAAGTTTAACTTATTTAAAATTTTCAAGTTTGCGAAAAAGAAGGTTATATTTTAGAACATGCGTCCAATGAGTTGGTCGCAAGGGACATGCGTCCAATGGACTTGCGTCCTATTTTAGGACATGTGTCCGATGACTTAGTCGCTAATCCGAGTTCCAAAATTTTCGATGTCCGAGTTCCGACTTTTAGCCAATTACGATATCTCTCAGTTCCGATTTCCGACATCTTCGTCATTCCCGACCGACTACTGATGCGTCCAATGCCGAGAATTGGTAAAAGCGTCCCAACAAAGCTTCAACCTTTTCAAACATTAGCTACGGCTCAGAAGCTAGCTCTCGGAGACATAACTGAAAGACCCCAGACAATGACCCCATGACAGCTCCCCACAATTTTTTAAAGTTATTCTTACCTTTCCATTAATTCTCAAAATTCTTTTTCCAGTTGTTGTTCCATGCTCGAATTCTATTTTATAAACTTTGTCACTCATTGGAACAGTCCAAGTTGCTACTAGATCATTTTCAATATTCTTGGATACTAGATCATCATCAAGTTTAGACATGATTTTTTTCAGAAAATAAATTTTTAGAATACTTAGTTTAATTTATTTTGGCAAAAAACTCTTTAAATTTATTTTTATTTTATTTTTCATAAAATAGACTGCTAACGTTTCCATGGTAATATTAATGGAAGGAAAGGTGTAAAACTTTTTCGTGAGATTTTTAATAAAAGCTTGAATATTTTTACAATAATATTTATACAAATTACAAATACGACATGTGAATAGACAGTTTTTTTTAACAGAGGAAGAAAGAAAAAAATCCAAAAATCTGTCCTTACTAGAGATCGAGATTTTTAAGAAGCCTGGGCCTCTTCTTGAGTTCTGTGTTTGATTAATTGACCTGGGACGGATCCTGGGCCTGTAGTCCAGGAAAAACACAGGCCCAGGAAAACCCTAGGAAAGTCAAAAATTCCTGGGCCTGGACTCTAGGTACAGGAGAACGCAGGTCTTGGTAGCTCGATCACTAGTCCTTACTAAAGGCAGATTTTTAGATTTTTTCGTTATTTATCATTATTTTCGTTAGTTCGTTACTGAATACGGTACACTACAAATCACTATCTCTAATATAAAAATTTTTATCAAAAATATACATATCTGTTTATCAAATCTAATTTCCACAAAATGAGCAAGATTTTCTACAATTTTGTAACATCCATCCTTGCGCAAATCCGTCTTGAGAATAACAGAGATTACTAACAGCCCATATACCACAATATACATTATTGTCTTTACATTCTGTTTTTTAATATTTGTAAAGTATTTTAGTTTCAACGAGAGACTGGATTGATGAGAGATCTCAAACAAAAAATCTCGGTTATAAGATTTTCCGAGATATCTCGTACGATCCTCGTACGTTATTTTTTGAGAGTTTTAAGATGGTTTTGAGGTTTAATAGGATATCGGGTGATTGAATAATTAAAAGGATTAGAATTATCTCTTGGGATTAATGTGTATGGTGCTTAAGAAGATATCGGAGGATTCGGAATTAAGATGATCGCTGGCTTGGTGATTGAGAGTTCGTCTTGTTAATCTCTATCTTGATTAGCTATATCTCTCTGATGATAAATTAGATATATTGAAATTATCAAAAATCTCGGTTATCGTACGACCCTCCCAATCCAGTCTCTAGTTCCTACCCACCAGGCATACAATACATTCTTCTAAGCTCAACCACATCTGTTTCGCTAAGTCCATTTCTTTGCCCCATTATAGGATCATTACTTTGAGGATTGATCTATTAATTAATTAATTAATTGTAAAAATTTATTTAAGCTAAAAACTTTAGCTGTCATTGTTTTTTGCCCAAAATTTTGAGTAGCTATCGTACTGGAATAATGCATAATAGACCCGTAATCGTAGCGGACACCTAAGAATTAACTTTTGAGTTTGGCCTCTAGAGAAATAAAACGCAATACCATAACTTGTGAATTTTGTAGCATCTGATACAGCAAATGCATCGTATTTTTGAGGATTGACATTTTGCCAATTTATAGTAATAAAACGGTCTCGATCTTAAAAAGGTTAGGTAAATATCCTATTAGAAGCCTCTCCTTAATAAAAGTCATATTGGTATCCCATGCCTAATAACAGCTAAATAGAAGCCCATAACAACTAAGGTTGTCGGATAGTTGGAAATCTTCGGGTATTCGGATCCGGCATCCGAACCGAAATTATCAGATATCCGGCCTTTTTCGGATCCGGATATCTGGATCCGACAACCTTACTAAATTCCATATTAGAGGCTCATCCCTATTAGATATATAGAGGCTCATCCCTATTAGAGGCCCACTCAATGACACCCATTGAAGAATAAATCCCAGGACTTCTACATGCATAAACGATAAAATTAGGATCCGAAGTTTAATTTTTCCATCCACCTATTCTAAGTTGTTCATGCTGCAATCCAAGAGCATGTAATGTTTCGTGTAACGCAATGCCTGCTGGATTTCCACAACCAAAACTCAAATAAATTGGGTTAACAACATCTAAACGTCCAACATAACTTTGACCACAACTTGAATTTATTGAAGATATTTTTAAAAAATTTCGGGCCTTTACTCACAAGCCAGGAAGGGCATATTTCACATAATATAAATGAGATCCTGTTGGTTTACTATTAACTTCTTGAAAGCTCAAACATTGTACTTTAGATTGAATTTCGTTGATAGCTTGTCTGACAGCGTTCTTATCTGCTTCCGCTATAAATTGGAGCAATTAATATAGTATTTCCTTTAACATAATGCTACAAAAGGGGCTGAAAAACAAAGGAAGTACGGTATCTACACTGAACTTGCCAACTGGATTCCGAAAAATTTTTTTGAATCGGAATCCCGATTCACGAAATTGGAAACTGATTTTTCATTTCGACACGTTCCCGTTCTGTGAGGCTTACATGTCACAGAAACATCAAACATGTATTGTATCGGCTGTCCCAAAGGCCATTGTTGGTTAGGAACACCTTCGAGGTAAAGCGAGTTTCCTGCTCTTTTAAACCGGCTAGGTTGAGGAACAACTCCTACACCTGCCTAAAATATTTTTTTTCGAGCTTTAAAAAATTTTAAATTTTTAACAAACAGAATTCTGGTTAATTTGATTTATGAGGGCATTTGCCTGTTGCTCGGTTAAGAGGATATCTTCTTGATATACTCCATTATTGGCTGGTTCAACCTTTATTTTTATTTTATTAAAAATTTTTGACTTGACATACATGCCCTTCCAAACCAGCCTTTCTAATAAGAGCCTTTTTTACTTGAAAAGTTCTAGCTAAGCGAAGTTCGACTTCATTGTCTAATTGCTCTTGAGGCCTTCCCGGACTGTTTAAAATATTATTTTATTTCAACATTTAGCTACAAACTGGTGTGCTCTAGCAATAGCAGCCTCCTGTTCAGCTATAGATGCACGCATGTTTAATGATTCAGGCTTCTGTTTTAAACAATCCCCACGTTGTGAACAAATATTCTTAACGGAAAAACTTAAAGTTTGTGATCTTATAGATATAAGTGATCAACTATTTAGATCCTGGATACCTGAAACCACTAAAACATACCCATCCATCACCTTGAACCTCCTGAAACCCTGAAACATTCTGAAACACCCTGAAACATATCCCCTCCAGAACATCCTAAAACAACTCTAAAATACCCTCAAACATCCCCTGTCATTCCTCAATATTTCAAGTCCCACTCATCCATCTCCTTGAACCCTCTGAAACCCTAAAACATCCTGAAACACTCTGAAACCCCCTCTAGAACATCCTGAAACAACCCTAAAATAGATTGAAACCTCCCCCTTTCATTCCTCAATATTTCTGGTCCCACTTCTAAATGTTCCACAGAACTATTGGATAGACATTAAAAGAATCTCTTAACCCCTCCCCCCTCCCCAATAAATATAATTTATAATATTCACCAATATTGCTTGTTTTGCAATTGCTGTAATCTGCCCAACTAACGGGACAACAACCTGCTGTAGAATATTGGGAACTTGAATATCATATTTTATTCGAATACTCGTTAAAAATAATTCATACCTCCGTTTAAGAGATTCTGCAGGGGTAATTGGGGAACTGGAGTTAAGTGGAAATTGACAAGATTGGGGAAAATTGAATTCAAGTCGAAGGCATTCCCAACATTCGGAGCAGCAGGAATAGAACCTTGAGGAAGTATCCATTCTGGGTGGCCTCTGGAAATTATTATTAAAGTATCTAATAATTTAATAAAAGGGCCAGATCCATCTTAAAAGTACTGATAAGCGTATGGGAGTTTTAAGAGCTTTCCCAGGCTATTTATGATATTACAAGGAACTCTGTTCAAGAGCCAAGGAAAATTTTATAATTTTTAGGTCAGTGAAAATCGGTGACTGGCTTGATGATAGACTTGAACCAATTACTTAACTAAAAAATCAACCCACTGGCACTTTGGATGATTCGGATTTCTACTGCAAAAGCGCATAATCCTTCTCTGCACATGTGGTGGTATGGGAGAGTTTGGATTGGGGGCGAACTAAGATAAAATAGATAGAATAATTTTATCGATATTAAAACAAAGTTTGCAGATATTCCATTAATTAGACCACCAATTTGGTGTGTTAGTTGATTTCCTAGGCCAAATTGGTTTAGGAGGCCTTCAACCTGTCCGCCGATGTTCGGATTATTATTGGCTTAAAAATACGATTTTTAATTAATTAATTTTTATTAATAGAAAAGTAGCCCTTAAAATGCCCATCTTGCCTTTATTTCAAACATTTTTATTAAATATTTAAAAAATAAACTGGCCATTTGGGAAATTCCATATGTTTGGATTGTGTTGTTTGGGTTGTTTAAAGTGCTTGTTGCCAGAAAATCCACGATTTTTGTTGTTAGGAGAGCCATGGAACAATTTTCCAAAATTTCGGCGACCCAAATAAATTTTTAAAAAATTAATTTTGAAACATTAATAGGCGGGATGGGCATTAATTGGGGGAAATATAGGTGCTTGGCATCTGATTAAAATCTTAACTTCGGCTTCTGGAGACGGCTACGAAGCTATACCTAAGCCATAAGCCATACCCAGCACTCAAAAAAATTAAAAAATCTAAGTACCATTATGTTGTTGATTAGGAGGGTTATGTTGAGGGTTATGTTGCGGTCTCTGTCCTCCCCCAAGTAACCCATTCAATGCCCCTCCTAAATTTCCAAGTCCAAGTTGATTCAAGTTAAACTGAGCTTCTGATGATATTATAATTATCAATAATTGATAAATTAATAAAATAAACATCTTTTTATAAAGTTAATTATTTTGGACCTCAAACACCTTTGGGGCTGAACAGTTATCTTATAATGTGTTGGAGTTGAATTGGAGGTATCGCTTAGACAACTTCCACACCCAACGGTTTTGGGCAGAGGTCATTCAGAAATCTCATCTCCTAGTATCATGTTTAAAGCCCTTCCCGATTTCCTACAGTTCCGATTTCCGACATTTTCACCAGTTAAGACCGACCCCTGGTGTAGGGTAATATTAAGATGGACGTAAAGTAAACGAGGTGTATCTTGTATTGAGTGTATTCTTTCAGGGACGAGCGCACATATCAGGGATCTTGCCAACCCGATTCTTGATTTCCCGAAATCGGGAATTCCCAAAATCGAAATCCCTGATTGTACATATGATTAAAAAGGGATTAAATACATACCTTAAAACCCTATTTTTAAAAAATAAAAATTCAATTAAAAAATAAATATTAAATTAAACAAAATAAATTATTTCAATCTTTTATTTTGCCTAGAACAACGCAAAACAAGTTTTAATTTCAATTTAACGAACAAATTTAAACTTGCTCAGAATTGATTGAGTTGACCTATAGAGGGGAATATTTTAACGTTCAAAATTAAAAGTAGAAAAAAAAATTAATAAAAAAATTTTTAAAAATGTTTGGCCAATTGCGCATTTTCTTTTAAATTTTATTTTGTTATTTTTACAAGAGTAAAATATGAATAGGTATTTATCAATCAAGGAGAAAGTTGTGTTTTTGCATGGACATATTGGTGTAATGTTGCTACGTCATTGACTCAAATTAAATTTTTTATAAGACTATACAAAATCAGAATTATAATTATTATTGTATATTAGGTTCCGGAATTGTTCTGTTAAATAATTCTGATTTTTATGTTTTATTAAGATAATAATACCTAACCAGAATTATGATAATATAATCATAATTATGTAAATAAAATATAATCAGAATAAAATATGATTGTAATACTTCTGGTTTCTGAAATAAATAATCTAAACTTAATTCAGAAATAAAATCAGAATTACGCAGCAGAATTAGTATATTATAGTACATTCTGAAATAATATCAGAATTACAAATCAGAATTAAAATTAGGTATAGGTATCTGTTTCTGAACTAAATTCTGAAATTAATTCTGAAATAATAAATATTATAACTACGCATCAGAATTACATTTACATATTAGTTTCCTGAATAAATATAATTCTGATTTTTATATCTTATTGTACTATTAATATAAAAATAACATAATCAGAATACAAATCGGAATTATTTAATATAATTTTTTAACTGTTTTCCGGAATTCATCTGGTATCTTCTGAAGCCTTTCTATTCCTTCTATTTGCTTCACTATTCTTCTACGGCAAGAAAAAAGGTTTTTCTGCAATCATAATAGGCATTGAAGTACCGCTAGTAATTACCGAATTTATTTTTAATTTATTAGGCATCGCACAAGACAATTTATTTGTTGTCTCAATCAGTTTATCCTTCAAAGGATTAATTTTAAAAATTTTCTTTTCTATCCACCTGATATTCCCCAATTAATTTTATATCATTTCTTGTTTTGCTCATTTCAATTGACATTTGGATCAATTCCAAAATATCCATAAAATTTTGCTTTTTTATTTTTGTATTTATTTTTGAGGCGTCTGGACTAAATGAAACTACTGATTTTTGTAAATCTGTCTCTTGATGTCTTTCTGAAATTAATTTTAAAAATAATGTCGGGCAACGTTATACCCCCTGTAAGTTTATGATAATTTTTAAAAGCTTTTTTGGCCACAACAGAAGGTGGATACCCCTCATTATGAATTCCCCAAATAGTAAATACTAGTGATGACTCCCGACACCCGACTCCCGACTCCCGACTTTCGAGATCATTTCCCGACCCGACTCCCGTTTCCCGATTCGAGTGGGGCTGCCTAAAATATATCTCTCTCATCTCTCATTATACTTCTATTTAGTACTAAATACTCCTCAGTTCATGGTAGAATTTTTAAATTTTGGTAGTCTAAGTAGTGAAAAATCTGTCTGAATGATGCCCTCTATTAAATACAATCCTCATTATGAAATGCAAAATTTTGTTGTCCGACTTGTTTTTAATTAAAAACATTTACCAAATAAGGTAACAAAATTTGCCATAAATTTAGCAATTCCAACTAGTTCAAAAGTAGATGAACTCTCCTGTATATTTTTAATATGGATAATAAGACGCTAAAATTTTTAATTTAAAAAATAATTATTTCTACTATACATGCAGGAAAACATCCAATTTTTCTTCACTAGATTCGTCCATTATAGTAAGAAATAAATTTGTAATAAATTCGTTTTGACAGTTCCACAAGTTGGAATTACTCAAATAGGTGAATATTGTGTTAACTATGATCCTAAGGAAATCAAGAAAAATTTTTTTTAATTTTTCCAAAATACCTACACTAAGTTTTCAAGATTACATCGTATAACCAACTCGCGAATGTAAGCAATAATTATAGAGTTAAAATTGACTAAAGGTTCAGTAAGTTCAGGTTCAGTTTCGGGTTTATTTTCTTCTGAAAATCAAACAAAAATAAATTTAGTTCCCTTCTATATTCTGAATTTTTAAATAATATTTAGAGGATCTTTAAGGAAGAAAGAGAGCAAAAGAAGAGAGATTAGCGAATTTGGTGTTCAAGCTGAAACGGATCCGGCCGAATTTTTTATAAATATTTAACTCCGATCCCTAAATAATCCAGATAACGCGAAAAACCCCGGAGTTGGGACAGGAAGTTAGGTAAAATCCGGCCAGATCCAGGATCTTTTAAGGAAGAGGGAGAGAGAGAGAGCAAAAGAAGAGAGATTAGCGAATTTGGTGTTCAAGCTGAAACGGATTCTGCCGAATTTTTATGAGTAAATACGATCCCTAAATAATTTAACTAACGCGAAAAACCCCGGATTTGGGACCGGAAGTTAGGTAAAATCCGGCCAGATCCTTTGGGCTGCTAACTAGAAAATAGTATAAAAGCAGTAGAAAAGACTAAACCTTCCAACTAGTACTATAAAAACAAAGCTAAATTTCCAGTAATTTTTATTCTCTTTGAATATATGGGGTGTTACTATCACAGAGCATTAATAAAATTATAAATATTATGGAATTAGAAGGGATTTATTAATTAATTTATAAAATTAATTTAAAACCTACCAACATAATAATTTTCTTTTTTCAAAGTATAAAATAATTCCCCAAGTAAAAATTCTAAAATTTTCTTAAATAATATTATATTCCATTTATCGGTATTTTTTGAAATATTTTTTAATAATAAATTTGTACACATTACTTAATTTATTAATTTTATTATTAAATAAATTTTTAAATATTTTACCACTAATTCCAGTAAATCCATTCAATCTTCGAGTATTTTCATTTTCCCTTCCCATAAATTCAACAAACTTTTTGGCTATAATATTGTATTCCTTATATAATGTATTTCCCACGTCATAATGAAGATTAATGTGTCTTTAATTGTTAAAATTTTTTTAAATTTTTATTAGTATTCTCTTAAAAATGGGGATTTTTATGGACGGAATTGTTGGTATTAGCATCTAATTCTTAGCTAATCCATTCAATCTTCTAGTATTTACTCATTTATTCAAGGAAACCCGAAATTTTAAAGGTCCAACCAAGGGATGGATCTCAATCCAGTAATGTGAAAGCTATTATCCTCCGCCTACTCCATCTTTTTTGGTTTTTCCTCTCTGTTTTTAGTAAAAATGGAAATTTTTGTAACGCATTTGTTTGTATTAGCATGTCGAAATCCTATTTTTAGTCAAAGCATCGGATTACTCATTTATCCAAAAAACTCGAAATTTTCAAGGTCCAACCAGGGGATGGCTCTCAATCCAAGAATGAGAGAGAGCTTCCTCTTCAGCCTACTTCCGTCTATTTTGGCTCTTCCTCTTTTGTCTTTAGTTTCCGTTTTTTCTTCCATTATCTTTCGCCTTCCATTTGTGCTTTTCAAAATACAGCCCATCCCTTATCCAGTCCTACTTGATAATAACTCTACTTATTTTTTTACCGTTGAAATAATTCTGTGCCCAAAGATTCTAATCTGGCTTCTTCCGTTTGCAAAAGTCTCTTAACCATTTCAAAATAATTTTGGACTAAAACTGTCCAGCTTGAAACCTTCCGACAATTATCCAATAATAAATTGATAATATTGACAGATATCTAAGTTTATTTGAACGTTCAATCATCTTAGATATTCATCGACTTACCTCAACTTTATTGTAACTTCCTCTATCTAGATCTCTAAAAATTAATATTTGGATATGATTAATTTAGGAAATTTTGGAAATGGGATTTTTAAATTTGGTCACCTTTAGATCTTGCAAGGATATTTTCTTGTGGGAGCCATGGATTTTTGGTTAATCGGGATTTTTGGAGTATTAAGAGAGCTATCGAGTGATTAAAAGTATTTGAGGAAGATATCGAGGATTGTGAAGATTAGGAAGGATTATAGGATGCGACCCCAACTCCATTACAATAACCCAAGGTTATTTTCTAAAATTTCCCATAAATCTCTCAGTATCAGTCAGGATCGTAAGATGCGATTTCCACACCGACACAGGCCAGTTTTTTACCGGATCCCACGATCCTTTTCAAAATTCCCCATAGATATTAAAAAATTTTTAAGTTCCACCTATTCATATGTTGTAGTAAATAAGCACTAATCCCTCCAACTTCTTCAGGATGAGCCCCAGCTATTAATTTCTGTAAATTTTTGTCCCTTTTAAAATGCTCTACTTCACTTTTCTTTATTTTGGTTGTTATAAGTGATTTTTCAACAGAATCTTCATTAGTTTCTTGGGAAGATTTGCTACAACGAGTTAATAATGACCCCATTTTGGAGTATTTTTTTTTATTTTTAGATAAGTTCAAGAAAGTTTTTGCTTTTTTAAAGTTAAGATGAATATTTTTTTCTAGTAAATTTCTCAATCCCCTTTTACTTTTCTTCTTTTCTCATATTCCAAGATTTTTAACAAGTAAATAAACAAAACTTTTTTGTAAAAAGAGTAATCCTAAGCTTAAACTAAGTCCTTCTAAGCTTATAAAAATAAATATTTAAAAAATGTTTATAGCATAGAGGGAGAAAAATTATTTTAAAGCGAGGCTAGAAATCAGGGAAATCAAATATAGGTACCTTGTCAATACTTGGGCAATTTCAATTCTGATCAAATTTTTAAAAATTATTTAGATTTGAAATTTTATTGACTGGCAGAGACTTTTAATTTTAGTTCAAAATAATTTTAGTTGACACAAGAATTATTTATTTCAAAAATAAGTTATAAAAAATGAAACTAAAAATTAACTCGATTTATCAACATCTATGATAATTATAAAATGATAATTTCAGAATTATCTATAAAATTATAGAGTAGTATCCAAATTTTCTGTTTCTGTTGTTCGATTGATCCCAAAAGCTTCGTAGCACACTGATAAAATTTTCCCGCTAGCCATATTTGTCGCTTCATAACATCCTGCTTTTGCCAAATCAGCCCCACGTCCATTGAGTATTTGCACATCTTATTGAAAAAATCGTAGACGGGAACGGTTAATTGATGACAATTTTGCCTCACTGTTTCAATGGCCTTATTTACTTTTTCCTGACAACATATTCGATCATTAAAGGCCAGAATACATTAGAATAATTCAACAAGATTAGGTGTCTTTCTGCATTCAGGCTCCATTTTTGTCAAGCTTATCATAGGCGCGCAAGGTTAAAATTTATTTGAAACGGAAATTGGTTTTGACAATTTTTATCAGCGGCGAACAATCCAATTTCTACCGAGATATTGCACAAACTCTCTTCGTCATCAGCTTTGTATTAGCTTGAAATTTGAAAATAAATATATAAATTGATAAATATATACTGAAAATAAATATATACTACTGAAAATAAATATATAAAATAATATATAAAATAATATATAAAATAAATATATACTTGAAAATAAATATATACTCTTAATAGCTTGCTCAATCCCAAAGGCATGGTAGTACCGAAAAACCCAGGATTTTTCGGTTCAGTTCGACTATCTGAAAATTTCGGTTCGGTTGCTGCATTCGGTTCATCGTACAAGTATTTTCTGACTTCGTGGCATTCTTAAATTCCAAAAATTTTCGTTTCGATTTCGGATATCCGAAAATTTTATTGCTGCTTTTGGAAAAGATATGTTTTCTAAAATTTTGCATTCTTTCCGATAACTTGAATGTTCAAACCAAATTTATAACGGAAGGGAATTGGCTAGTTTTATGAATAAATTTATGTTACTAAACCTTGAATTATGTTACACCACAATGCTTTAACAAAATAATTATTCTGACTCATAGGGAATATTTTTCAATTAATCATTTATGGAAATTTCAAGAATTATAACTAGGGTCCGGATTTTTATTGAAATAAAATCGCAATATATGACTATAAAATATTGAAATAAATGGGCAAAATATTGTCAAAAAAGGCCAAAAAATTGTGAAATATTGAAATAAATTATTGTTTATTTAGTGGCAAAACTCAAAAAAAAAAGTTAAAATTTAATAAAAAAATATTAATCACGCTTCTAAAATTGCACTTATAGTTCGACAAATTGAGTATTTTTACTCTCATAGACATTTTGAGATTGTCGAAATGAGCTGGAATATGTTGTGGGAATTGCTCAATGTGCCATTTTGGGGGGGGGGGGGGGTGTTAGGGCATTTTGAGGCGGAACATCTTGGGATGGGCCTATATGGGGCTTTTTGTTCACTTACACATTTTGAGGTTTTGTTAATTGTGAAATTGTGTGGAGCGATTTTTCAATAAGGTCTGAGCGCTATTCTAGGGAATAATTAGTGGGAAGGCAACAGCACTGTAGTGAATAGTAGGCCATAATATCCCCTTCTCTGCGCCGCAGGCGAAAATTTTGAGAATTTTCGTTGTCAAGAGGCTAGATTTCTTCATTTTTTCCCTAAAATTTATGAAAAATCCCAAAATTTTGGTAAAAATATGCAAAAATATTGAAATAATTTGCAAAAAGTGCAAAATATTGAAATAACGGGAAAATTGGCAAAATATTGAAATATATTAAAATACAACTTTGTTCAGAATCATAATATCGAAAAACTAATAGCATATTTGGGCTCCTCTCGACAAAGTATGTTTGCAAAAAAAAGATTTATTTCAATAAAAATCCGAACCCTAATTATAACTCTGATACTTTTATTTATTCATTTTATTCACTTTATTCTTTACAAAAAACAATATTTTAGAAAATAATATTTTTATAAGGCAGCAAATAGAAAAATAATGTAAAGCTCAAACGAAAGGCATATTATTGAAATTTACAGAAGGCAAAAATAAAAATGAGGTCAATGTGGTAACAATATTCAGTAAATGTTTTACCAATTTACAGTTTTTAGCTGTTTTAAAAAAATTTTGTACAGTGGAAGCTCTCTATAACGCCATCTTTCTCCACTGAGTCGCTCTCTTATGTCGTTAAAATCAGTCACAAAACGTAAAAAAGACGATTCCACTGAAATCAGCCCTCAATATAATGAATCGCGAGAGACACACGCTAAGGTTAGGTACATCCAGAGGTTCATTATATCGAGTAGGGTTGTCGGTTCCGAATAGAACCGAAAAACCGAGGATTTTTCGGTTCGGTTCGGATATCCGAAGAATTTCCAGAAAACGACAACCCTAATACTGAGAGTCAGCTTATGAGGAAATTTTGGCTATTAAAGCTGTTTTCGAAACAGAAAAATATTTGCTGAGATCTTGCAGGATCCCGTCCCGTAATCCCTGTATGAAGAGAAATCGTGTTTCCGGGATTACGGTAGCCAAGGGTTTACCGATCCAGCTCTGTTCGATTTCATTATAAATAAAAGAAATTTTCAAATGTTTTGATGAGATTAATATTTAAGATTTTTATTAGTCAACAATCTTATTCTCTCATAATATCATCTCCCAAAGCGAGGCCTCACAATAGAATCCATTTGTTTTAAAATTTGGTCCAATTCCATTTTATGAATTTTTGGAATTTTTCTTTAATTAAAATAAAATTTTTAAAATTTCCAAAATTTTAAAATTCACTTTTTATGCCGGTGACTGTGCCGAGGATGCTTTTTAGCAACTTTCTCATCTTCCCCGTCCAAATGTTTCGCGGCATTAACCCAATCATTCAAGCTTCTCCTGTGATGTCTTTCAAGACGTCCTCCTCTTCTTAGGTTATAACTGGAAAAAATAAATTTTTTAGAGTATTTTGAAAATGATTTTCATGGAAATTTTTCGGAAAAAAAATTTGAAAAAAAATTTTCAAAAAAAAATTAAAAAAAATTTTTTTCAAGAAATTTTTTCAAAATATCAAAAATAAAATCGAAAAAAATTTAAAAAAATCTTTTTCGAAAAATTTAAAAATTTTTTCGAAAAATTTTAAGAATTTTGAAAATTTCTTAACATTTTTTAAAATTCAAAAAAAAATTTTTTTGAAATTTTAAAAAAATTTGATAAATTAAAAAAAATCGAAAAAATTTTAAAAAATTCGCAAAAAATTTTAAAACATCGAAAAAAAATTAAAAAAATTTTTTTCGGATAATTTCAAAAATTTTTAAAAATTTTTCCGAAAAATTTCAAAAAAAATTTTCGAAAAATTTCAAAAATTTTAAAATTTTTTTGAAAAGTTAAAAAATATTTTTAAAAAATTTTTACAAAGAATTTCATTCAAAAAAATTTTCCAGCCACCTTTTTCTCCTTTTTAAAGGCATTGCATCAGAAGAATCAACTGCAAGTGTCAGCAAAAGCATTAAACTGCTGGCAACAAAAATTATTGCAAACATTTGTAAATTGTAATTAGTAATTTTCCTTTTATTTTTCTCCGTCCTTTTAATTTCTATTAATTTTGTGTGTGTTGTAATTATTATTTTATCAGTCATTTTTAATTAATTAATAAATTATTAGTGCATACAAATAAATTAATTAAATATCTGAAAATAATTTTTAAAAAATTATCAGTTGAAACATTGTTAAAAATAAAAAATTTTTAAGAATAAAGGCCCCATAATTTTCAATAAACTTCCTCAAAAGGAGATTTAACAAGCCCTGGGCTTTATTTCAAAAGTTCAGGGTGACTAAAAAGCAATGGGCACGTTATTTATGGCATAACTTTATCCAAATTAGTGATAATAGGATCAAATAAAATTTATATGATAGAGAACTAAATAAAGAACAATAATAATAAAGAATTTTCCAGGTATCCACGTTCTGATTAAATACACAGTCGAAGGAGCGTGTAAAAATTTTTGGCCAAAAGTTCGCACTACCTAAGGTTAGATTTTTTTCTATTCCTGAACTATTAATTGCCAGAAGATTTTTTTTCTAATGGAGGGCAAATACTTGAAAATCTACGGTAAATAATTGAAAATTTTAATGAGTCAAAATTAAACAATGGCAATATTTTTTTAAATCATTTACTTTTTATATACTTCTAATGTACTCTTTTTAACATAATACAGAGTACATTATAGTTTATATTTAACAACTAAAAATATGATTAGAAAAACAGATGATTACAAAAAGTATTTTGCTGTAAATGTAGTTTGTTAAATAAAACAAAGGACACACGTTTTTTTGAATGACGTTTTTTATCGTTTGAAAATAGGGTTGTTGGAGGTCGGTTAAACGAACCGAATTTCGAAAACCAGTGTTTTTGGCCAATAAACCGAAACCAATGAATACGGAGGTTATCAAAATCAGAAACTGAAAATCAAGGGTATAAATCAACTGAAAACCGGAGAATATCGGAAACCGGGGGTACCGGTTAATATTCAGTCGCCTACAACACTCTTAAAAATTATTACAAATTTAA